AGCTGGCCCCAAATGTTTGAAGCCTTGTAAAATGATGTGTATCTACTTACACTACCGTCGTGAACAGAACTATCATTCCCCAGGCTCACAGATGCAACGGCCAACTTGGGAATGCTGAACCTTGCAAGGTCAGATCTGAATTCAATGAAAAGCAAATAATCTTGACCTATTATGATTAACATTCTTAATAACATTTTCTGTGATAGACTGAGACTTTATGATTCTTTCAACAGTATGCACTTAAAAACCATGTGTCTCTAAAACCTGGAACGCTAAAGAATAACTTAAAACAGAGAAACCTTTGAAGCTGCTGGATGGCTCAGTTAGTTGAGCATCCGACTTTGGCTCAGATCATGATCTCACAGTTTGTGAGTTCAAGCCCAGCACCTGGTACTTTGCTGACAGCTTGCTCAGACCCTGGAGCCTGCTTTGGATTCTGTGTCTTCTTGGCTCTCTGCTCCTCTGCCGCTAGTGCTCTGTCTCTCTCTGTCTCTCAAAAGTAAATAAACTTTTCTTTTTAATTTTAAATAAATAAATCAAACAAAACTGGTAGGGACAAAAACTGTGAGGTTGGGCATTTTGGTTTTCCTTGAAATTCAGGAACAAAATTTAACTAGGGAGGGAGCAAGGAACAGGGAGGGAAACTCTCTGATTTCTAAACTCTGCTCTTTGCTTGCATTTAAAAAATAAATAGCCTTACAGGAGTGCTGATGCATATGGGCACATGTACCCCAATGTTCATAGCAGCACTCTCAACAATAGCCAAAACATGGAAAGAGCCTAAGTGCCCATCAACTGATGAATGTATCAAGAAGATGTGGTTTATCTATATGATGGAATACTCCATGGCAATGAGAAAGAATGAAATCTGCCCATGTGTAGCAACACGGGTGGAATTCAAGGGTGTTATGCTGAGTGAAATAAGTCAGGCAGAGAAGGACAGATACCATATGTTTGCACGTATAGGAGGATTAGGAGGAACTTAATGGAGGACCGTGGGGGAGAAGAAGGGGAAAAATAGTGGGGGAGAGGGAAGGAGGCAAACCATGAGAGACTCTTAAATGCTGAGAACAAACTGAGGGCCGATGGGGTGGCGGGGAGGGGAAGGGTGGTGATGAGCATGGAGGAGGGCACTTGTGGGGAGGAGCACTGGGTGTTATATGGAAACCAACTTGACAATAAACTATTTTTAAAAAAACATAGCCTTTAACTACTTCTTATCCAGGTGAATGGCTCTTTATTTGCCAGCTTTGTTAACATTGCCCTTAAGAATGCATTGTGGGAGGAGGAGTGCCTCCCCCAGCTCATTCTCTCTCCATTCCTCAGTTGTCTTCAGAGGGGCCTGCCCCTGAGTTTCTGGCTTCCCCTGCTGTACTTTTCACATGCACCTGCCAGGGGATCATAGGGACCTGGCCTCTGGCTGGCTTGTCCACCAGCCAGCTTGGTCACTCTAACCAGGCCCCCTCTGGTCCCTGTTTCTTCATCTGTACTTGGAGCTGAGAAGGATGCCCACTCATTCCCTGCTGAGGGTTGCTGAAATAGAAAAAGACTTTAAGTTCAACTCTCTTTTTTAATTTCTTTTTTATTTCAGAGAGAGAGAGAGAGAGAGAGAGAGAGAGAGAATCTTAAGCATGCTCCATGCTCAGTACAGAGCTTGATGAGGGGCTTGATCCGAAGACCATGGGATCACGACCTGAGCCAAAATCAAGAGTCAGACACTCAGCCAGCTGAGCCAACCAGGAGCCCTTTAACTCTCTTCTTAAGCTTAAAAAGATGAAAGCAAATTATCTGGAAAAGTAAAGGTAGCTTTCAGGATGTTGGATTCTTAAGATGCCTCTCGAAAGAGGTTGAGGAATCTTTCCCATCCTCTTAATACGGGACTAGTTAAAGCCATTTAGGCAAACTGTACAGGGGCTGTGAGAGCACAGAAATGCTCTTACATGATACACTGAAACTGAGGGCCTCCTTCTCAGTGCAGGGACAGGTCAGAGTTTCCCTGGGGACAGAGAGACCCACAGGACTCTGCACACTAAGTGCAGAGCTCCCTACTTCGGATGAGCCCAGATAGGCAGGTCATTGTTTATTCTTTACCAAGGCATCTCTCTGTATCTTACACACCTTCCTGAGGTCAGTTAGCCAGTGTGCTAGGAGAGAAAAAAAAAAAACCCAGGATATGCCTCTACCGTCAAGCCTCTATGCCAGGGGAATGTGAACGCATGAACAGGTACATACAAGGCACCATGATAAAATAAGACTGCTTGTGTACTTGTTTATGGCCTGTCTCCCCAACAGCAGTAAAATTCAGGAGGGAGGCTCCATCCATCTTCTGTAACAACTGCATCTCACTGCCTAGCATACAGCCTGGTCCAGAATAGATCTGATATCTGTTTGTGGAGTTAATGAATGAACGGATTTATGAACAAATGAACGAATGGTAAAACAGAGACATATCAAAAGTACTGAAGAGGAAACAGCACAGAACTCAGGGGCAACTAGCATTTGAACTAGACCCTGAAGAATGGAAATTATTTTACCAAATAGAGAGGAGGATCCCCCCCCCAAATAATCTAATTAGTGATGTGGGCCTCACAAAAGTACAGCTGGAGAGACGGCGGTGTGGGTCCCTGACATGGGGACAGGATGGGCTGGAGGGCAGGAAGACACAAACAACAGAAATGATATTCGAGGCTACTGAGGCAGGGATCTTGGCTATCATGGGGATGAGTGTGGATTTTGTCCTCCAAAAATGGGGAAGTAGTAAAGATGTTCAAGCAGGGAGGTAAGTTGTTATTAATCTGCTAATGAGAAAGCTCACCCCTGCTGCATTATAGTAGCTGGATTGGAGCCCGGGAGACCAGGAAAGCAGTTGAGGGGTTGATGCTAGAGGCCAGACCTGAGATAAGGAGAGAGAGAGAAAGAGAGAAGGAGAGAAAGAAAGAGAAAAGAGAGAGAAAGAGAAAGAGAGAAAGGAAGGAAGGAAGAGAGAGAGAGAGAGAGAGAGAGAGGGAGAAAGATAGACAGACAGACAGACAGACATGGGACACCTGGGTGGCTCAGTCAGTTAAGCATCTAGCTTCGGCTCAGGTCATAATCTCACATTCTGTGGGTTTGAGTCCCACGTCAGGCTCTATGCTGACAGCTCAGAGCTTGGAGCCTGGTTCGAATTCTGTGTTCTGTGTCTCCCCTTTCTGCCCCTCCCCAGCTCGTTCTCTCTCTCTCTCTCTCTGTCTCTCTCTCTCTCTCTCAAAAATAAATAGCATTAAAAATATATAAAGACCAAAAGACAGAATAGAGCCTTTGGGTGTGAGGAAGAAGAGGCCTCATAGCAAGCATCAGGGGATGGACTCTTGGAATCTGGAAACAAAGAATGGAGATGGTGTGATGGGCACAGGAAAGAGAAGACTCCAGTTTCGAGCCCAGCCTGCTGGGTTGGAAACTATGTGAGCTTAGAGGCCGCTCAGGAGGATAGCCTCACAGGAAGGTCCAGAAAATAGACGCCCACATGCAGAGCTTAGAAGTCAGAGTACTGATGCAGATGTGAATCAAGCGCCCCCCCAGAGAAACAGAAAACAATGAAATAGATCAAATAATGCAATAATTAATTCTTGCAATCATGAAATAATGAAAAAAATAAAGTGTGAAATAATGAACTAACACCATCACCTTGCTTTGTGTGGATGTAACCCAATGACGAACTATATGCAAGCAAGTCATTAAATTATTTGTCACATCACAGCCGGTAGGCTGCATACAAAATCTTAGACAGAAGGTCTCCAGGCACCGGTAGGCATTTCCCAGAGTCCCTGACTCCCGCACACACGTGTGTGTCCCCCGAGGGGCTGCCGAGGGTCAGGCACTGACCAGGGCCCTGGGGGTGCACAGCATCCCCTTCCCTATTCTCCCCACGCCCCACCCCCCCAACCCCGCACACCTCTGCCTTTGCAGGCACGGTACATGAGCTGGCTCATCGCACACAAACACAAGCTACAAGTTAAGACCAAAGGACAATTACAACCCATGACAAGTCCGAGAAGGTGTCTATCTCAGAGGTCAGGGAAGGTTTCATTGAGTAACAGGCACTGACACTAAGCTCAGAAGCAGAAGAAGGGAGGCAATAACCAGTATCTGACAGAGGCCTAGGAACAGGAGTAGAGAAAGTCCAAGGACCGAAGAGAAGCAAGTTTGCCCTACATGAGGAGGAACAAGGAGGAAGAGGGGGTGAGGGGAGCTCACAAGAGGAGCATTTGCAGAGGAAACGGTTATCAATAAACGCCTGCCAAATACCCGCAAAAGAAATGCAAAGATTTTAAGCGTGGCTAATTAAATGAACGAAGGATGCATAATAGTGATGGTTTATGATAGTGAAAGCCTTCCTGAAGTTGAACAAATTAACCCAATTTAAAATAATTTTTTCACAGGACATGTCACAGCAAAGTATCTAATATGCAGAATTTCAATAAATATTACTTGAATCTGAATTGTTATGGTTAAGTAATCTGCATTCCTACACTGAATGATGTCTGCTAGCTAGGGGTCAAATTCAACTAGCAAAGGAGGCATCTAGAACATTCCTTGACCCACAGGTGCTGTCCTTGTTTGTCCTTGCCTCCCATCAACCATGTGATGAAGGTATGATGCTCTTCATTTTACGGAGCAATGTCATGGAGACTCACACAGCTTGAGGAGTGGGCCACACTGAGCCTGCTGATGTGGGAGAGAAGGACACATTTTCATCCTGACTTCTTCTACGCCACACACTCATCCCTTATAAAATAAAGCTTTCACTTTAAAATATATTTTTTAAGTAATTAAATTACTTTAAACACAGATTTTTTTAAAACCCCAATGGAAATGCAAGGAGAGGGATTTGGAATTATGTGTGAGATGTTCATTACTTAAATCTGACTGGGTGGTTGTTTCTATGAATGAATGCACTTAATTAATTTTTCCCCCTCGCCTCTTGCTATTTCCTGACTGTCATCTATTTTCCTTCATCCCAGGGGCAACAGAAGGACAACAAAAGAAGGTTCCAGTAATTTGAAATTCCAGGACTTCAGTCTGCCAAAAAATAGGTCAGAATATTTACTTGTTTATTAACAGAGGAGTGAATATTTTGATTCTGTGGCAAAAAGCTAATAAACACATGTGCATGCGCGCACACACACACAATGTTAATGTGATAGAATTTTATTGCTGCCAGTGGTCTTAGAGATCAAAGGTCACATGGAGACCAAGGTCCAGAAGGAAAAGAAATTAGTGTGGGTTGAAGTTCCGGCAGGTGTGTGATGCAGACGAAGGTTGAGAAGCCTCAACACATCCATAGCATTTCAGAACAGGGCTATTTGCACCACCTCCCACGTCTCTACATAACCCGAGAGACAGCCACCAAGAGGAAGCTTCCATGGTCAGCTGGTGAACAATCTGAAAGACAAACCTTGGATGAGTCAGGCCATGAGTCCATGCCCGGACTCCTAAGTGAGGAGAATCGAGGGAGCCATGTGCTAACATGGATTCTTCTCTTTGACCTTCAGTTGAGCAAACATCTACTGAGCAGTTATGGCGTTAGGACTTGCACAGGTTAGGGAATACACAGGGATGAAGGACAAAGCCCCACCTCCAAGGGGCTTCTAGCCACATCTGAAAGCTCAGAGTAGGGGCTCACTTGTTGAAATGACAAGATTCCCATCCCGAAGCCCAAGCCAGCTCCGCCATTGCCCAGCACACAGACCCTGGACAACACCCAGGGCCGATGTCCCCCTGAGGCCCTCCAGAGCTCCCTCGCCAAGCCCTGCCGGAGCAGTCTCTCTGCCCAGAGATACGCGAGGGTCTCCAGGAGATGTACCACACTCCTTGCATCCCAATGCACTTCCACGCAGGTTAGCCGCCAAACACCCATCCAGTCCCTACTATGTGCAAAGCACAGGGACATTCTTAGCATCCCAAGACGGACTTAAAGAACTATTCTCCCGAGGAAGAGTAAAATGATGCCTGTAAAACAGAACATTTGAAATATTGTCAAAGCCACATGCAGCAAAGCAAAATTTGTGGCTGTTCTCAGACTTCTTCAATGTTTACATTAAACACATTTGAATAATGCATTTTAAGTCCGTTTTTCTTATTTCTTGACAATGGCAAGAGATGGGAGATGGAAGGGTTAGAAGCCTTCCTTCAAATGGAGATGGTTGCAGCAATTACGTGCATCAAAGTAATATTTACAGCTACGTTTGGGAAAAAAAAAGAGAGAGAGAGAGAGAGAGCGAGAAAGAGCAGTGCTTTTTTCCGCAGCAAATTATTTCAGGATGTGTCATAGCACGCTCAAGATATATTAAAAAGAGCAACAGACGATGTTTCTGCAACCTGTTCCAAACCATTTATAAACCCAAATTTAAAAAAAATATCCCATATGCATACAAATCTCTGTACCACTGCATATTCTATAATGAAAGTATTATATGAGTATAAATTAGTATTTGAGATATATAAAATCAAAATATCTGCAAACAACATATTTGGGTCTACCATCTTACTTTAATAACTATTACACCAATTAATTCATTCTTTGGACAAATTACAATTACCAGCATTTGCATGTGGCGAGAAGGAGGGTGCTGTGGGCAGGCATTACTCAGCAGGGAAGGGGCCTGTGTGTGCTGGGTTTCAAGGTCACCTGATCTGCTCACTCACCCAACCACCTCATGCTCACAAGCCCATTTCCATCTCAGTGCCTCACAGATTTCAGAAATGGAGTCTGACACTGAATGAGCAGGCTGCCTTGTTCCCCACTGACCCCTGTAGTAAAGTAGCTCCTGTGTGGACTGCCTGGAACATAGCAGGTTCTCAATAAATCACAAGGGCTAACCCTCCCTGAGTACTCACCATGGGCAGGGCACTGTTTTAGGGGTTTAACAGGTAGTGTCTCCATGGAGCCCCATAATCACAGTCTTATTAGTCTCCCTTTTTGTAAATATTTATTTGTTTCGAGAGAGAGATTGCGCACAAGTAGGGGAAGGTGCAGAGTGAGAGAATCCCAAGTCCCACGTGGGGATCGATCCCATAAACCCTGAGATCATGACCTGAGCCAAAATCAAGAGTCTAATGCTCAACTGACTGAGCCACCCAAGTGTCCCTTATTAGTCTCCCTTTGATAGGAGAGAACATATACAGAGGATCAATCACTTCCCCAAGGCTGAATAGCCGGTTGTGTAGGGTAATCGGTAGATTTTCCATATAGTTACCAGTGTCTAAAACGGTCCTGACACTCTGTGCCTTGGCCCTCGATGCTGCCACCCCTTAGTTAGGTGAGGGGTCAGCTCCTCCAGTAGGTACAGGGGGGTGTCCCCCACCCCACACTCAAACACTCATGCCCCTCCAGACAACATATGATGTGCAACGGGACACTGAGTACTGGGGACACACCCAGATCTACAGCCCAGGAGATGACCCAAGAAAAACACAGGACCACATCCACATCCTTCCCCCTCGACCTGTCCACATGACTGATATGAATGTATCCTAGAAACCCCGTGGAATTCACTGGGCTGAATCTCCAATATCCACTTCTACTCTGTGCCACGTCCCCAGGTGTGTAGAAAACAGAAACCTACTGATGGAGGTTTTCCAATGGGGTCCAAACTCAAATCCCTGGGTAAATGCTGGACATGCGCCAGCCACCACGGAGGGAATTTTGGCATCTACTCCTCACAATAACGCTCTGAAGTAGCTATTAACTACTTCATTTCCATTTTATAGACTAGAAAAGAGGGTCTGAGAGAGGTTACAGTTTGGGTCAGTCACAGAGCTAGTAACTGGGAACAGCTGGATTTGGATTCAGAGTCTAACTTCAGATCGAGTGCCATTTCTGGGTTTTCTGTGATCACAACTTTCTGCTATATCTGCACATACATGTGGATTTCGTTTCCTGTTCCTGTGAGTCTCCAATCTGCTGACGTCAAACTCTCTGCTATGAGGAAGGGGCTGAGCATTATGCTCCCGAGAAGAACGTCCACATCCTTAACACAGCCTCATGGCGGCACCACCTGGGAACTTCGTAGAAATGCAGGTTCTCAGGCCCCGACCTACTGAATCAGAAACGCAGGTGGTGGAACTCAAGCACCTGTGTTTAAACATTCCTCCCAATGATTCCGGTGCCCACTCGCATTTGAGAGCCTCCGCTTGAGCGTCTTGATGCAAAGCCTCAGAGCTGGAGTAGGCGGCCTGTTCGTCCAGCACTGACTCTGCCCCTCCAGGGAAGAGGAAGGAGGGAGAAAGACGCAAGGCAGGGGACTTGGGGGTGGGAGGAAGGTGGGAGAGGTCAGTGCGTGGGGACAGGGAAAGCCAGAGAGGAAGACTTAGCCACTGCCATCCAAATGCTCAATCTGTGATGGGGGGAACCTAAACACCTGTATTACAGACCCTACGACACTGTACCACGTGCAGTGACAGCACTGGCGCACTGAGCGTCCGGGAGGCTGAGAGCTGGCCTGCGAGGTCCCCAGCCTTGCCCTCACACCCCGAGCACGAGTCTCTTTTCCCATTCTTGACCACAGCACTGTGGAGGGTACGGTGGCTCACGTGTGCCACACTCAGACCCTCCCCATCCTCACCTCCGTGACTATCCATGTGTTCCCTGTTGCCATCAACATAGCTGGAACAGTTAATTCGCCGGGGACAAGGTGCAAGTAGCTCAGGAGGGCCAGTGGTCATCTTACCAGAGCAGCAGCCCTGTCCCCACGCTGGGAAGCACCCTGTGGGCCCTCGCACCAGGCAGCCCTCCACCCAGGAGACAGACAAGGCCAAGGCCCCTGCTGTCGCTGCTCTTGACCTCTCTGGTTTCGCCCTGCCTGCCTCCAGCTGCCCTGGGCGTCCATGGCACGAACAGATCCATGAGAATATTGCTCCCTCTGGCCAGTCTCACTGTGCAGAAAGCGGAGTATCTTTCTGCAAGCAGTGGCCAGCTCAGAGAGTTACAGGGGCCCGAGTGCTTTCATAGAGGGTGCGTGGACAGTAGTGTGGAGCCCCATGCCTTTCCTGGGCTCGCCCACAAGGACCTCCCTTTAGTAGATGCTCACTGCTGAAGGGATGGGAAGAAGAAGGGCAGGAAGGAGCCCCCAGGGAGCTGTTGGCTTATACTAAGCCCAGTGCCTGGCACATGCTAGATACTTAAGTAGGTGATAGAAGGAACTTTTACCAAATGGAAAGCATGGAGGGAAGCAGAGAGAAGACAGAGCAAGGTGGGGAGGCCAGGGAGAGGGTGGAAGCTGTGGACTTGGGAGTTGTCTGCTGAAGCTGAGCTGGGCACCCAGGTCACCCCATGCTGCCTCTCTGCTCCTCTGTGATATAACCTAGACATTTTCTTTTCACCCTTCAGTATTTGTCAAGGACAAGGATAGCTCCAATGAAAGCGATCACAGCTCACAAGACATGCTTTCTGTCCTCAGACAACTGAAAATCTAGTTGAGGAAAGGAAAAAACACAGTAAGGTTTAACAGTGAGATTTAAGTAAGAAATTCCTAACTGCACACTGCCTTTTGACTCTCCTATTGTGTTAAGAGAGCAGAGGAGTGCTGGGGTGTTCAGAAACAGGGAGGCTCACCTGTCGCAGGGTGGGGGGTAAGAGTCTGGTGGGGGCACCCTGAGCAGGTGGAGAAGGGCAGGGCTCCCCCAGCCCGGAGGGTCCTAGGAGATGAGAAGGCTCACACTTCCAGAGTTTTCCCCAGGATCCCTTCAGGGAGCTGCATACGCCCAAATGTGGTTTTTGTGTGTGTGTAAAAGTAAAATCAATAAGACGAGGATTCTTGAAAATAATCAAGGATTCCTGTAACAAAGAATGAGCCCGTTCATTCCCTAATTAAACATGAGTGTTGACTTGATTCCACATTGGTGTAGGTTTCCTCTCCTTTGAAGTCATGTGGGGTTCAAAGACGTCCTCTGAACTTGGATCTGTAGGGAAAATACAGCGCCCATTTAGGGGAGGGGGATTATATGAGATGTGTGCACACACGTGGGACAGGGTTGCCCTGTGCAGTGGGCACTCAGCTAGTTCTTGCGGGGACAGGGTGGGTCCCCGTATAGATCCAGACTTGGTTGGCCATGCGTCTCCAAGCTGCTCTCCTGTTGGGAGGCCTCTTGTTCACTGCACGTGCCCCCTGCCTTCATCCTTCATCCATTCACCCACTCATGCTTACCTGAGAACACGTTTTTGAGCATTTTTGAGCACAGGCCATGTTCCAGCCATGTTCTGTACCAGGTGCCTGCTTTCCCTTCTAGGGGCTGGGGACCCAGTGTAGGAAGCTTGAGAAATCGAGCTGTGCTCTGTTCTGCTCATAGGAGTGTGAGTGCCTGTGGGTGCCACATGAGCAGAGGAGGGCTCTGGTGGCCACATGGGAAGCTAAGAAAACACCCACTGTCAAGGTCGGCACTGCCTCTTGCTGAGTCTGTCATACCCAAGTCCTTCCCTCGCCAGTAGATCCTATATGCACCCATATGTCCTCACTGAGATGCATCTCGGAGCATTATCCAGCACCTTACCAAGCTCCACATGCCTCCAGGACCACACAGGCCTTCTGGTTCACCCCTGCGGGCTCCCTACTCTCTGAGCACACCGCCTTGCAGACTTCAGCTCCTACACCTCCCTGATGCCAACCTGCACCTCCCTCTAGTGCTGGGGAGGAAGGAGGGTGTGCCCTGCCTGCAGACAGGCTGCGTGTAAACGGTGGCAACCACCAGCTCCCCCCGGGACTTAATCTGGGTTTGGGTCAACCCAGCTACAGAATGAAAGGGCCAGTTCATGGTCCCATTTGTGCCAACATTCCGGAATTAGCCCTAACATCGGGGTAAAGATTTTTGTAACACTGGGGTAAAGATTCTTATCCAACAAGAGTTGCCAAGAGATTTGGTGAAATGATTTATGAAGGTGCCCACTTAACCACCACAGTGCAGACAGCCACACAGCAGGAAGAAGGCAATGAATTTAGAACTTTAGAGTCACCTTCATTTCTCTCTAGATTATATTAAAAATCCATTTAGCAACCCATGTCAATGGTCTTCCACAAATTAGAATTTTAGTCTAACGCAGTCTCTTAATGTCAGAGGCAGCACTTAAGGTGAGGCCTGTCACTAAGCCAGTTAATCTTGGAAGTTTGGGACAGGCAGTGGGCTGGCAGGTGAAATCACCCTGACCATCTCCCAAGGGGCTCTGATGCACATTCTGCTCTAGCGCTGGGTGCCTGGGGAAACCCAGAGGGGACCACACACGTCACACTCGAGGGGGTGATAAGGAATTAAACTCCATGCCTGGAGCTTGACCCTGGAGACAGGACCAAATCCCATCTCTATGGGACCAGAAAAACACACCATCCAAACTTTGTTCCCATGGATAAGTAAGACGCAAGGCCACCCTGCCTGCTGAATCAGATCCCATTCCCCCAGGCAGCAACTGGGTGGGGAGGGGAAGGGAGGATGAGTTTAATTTAGTGCCCTTTAAAGATTAAAAATTATTAAGCATATTAAATTATTAAGAAGGATTAAAAATGAAAAATAATCCAGAAATTAAACATCTTTATTTGTAATGAGCCTTAAACGCTGAAAACCACAAACAGCTGGAAGTCAGCCCAGCTGTGGCCCATTCACATGCGGCCGTGTTAGGGATGCTGTTGACAGAAGGAAGCAGGGGGCATCCTGGTAATCGCCTGGCAAGAGGCAGCTTGCTAACCAACACATGGGCCTCGCTTGAGCATAAGGAGGGCACATGGAATCTCCACGAAGTTGCTCTTTCACGATCGCCCTGCGCTATGAGGCTGCAAAGAGCGTTTAGCCCAGGAGCATTTTTAGGTGGCTTCTCAGCGGCTGGTCTCCAGGAGTCCAGGATGCCTCCCGGGGGTTGGGGGGGGGCCTCCTTCCCAGGTTCCCGCCTTGCTCTTCTCCCTCTCCCCTTTGCGGGCTCAGCTGGAATAACAACACCACTCCCGCCCTGATGCTTCCTCTGCTAATTCATTTGGCTTGCACTGACGCACAGAGAGCCCTGGGGTGCAGAATCCCCGGGGGAGATATGACATATGAATGAGCTCCATCGCTTGGGGACCCCACCGAGAGGCAGAGTTGATCAGATAAGCCACTTTCAGACGGCCTGGACAATTGGGAGGAAGCTCCCAGGGGCTGAGAGCTGGGTGGTCTACGCAGCTGCTATGGGCTTGGCAATAATAAGGGGCCCGGAGTGGGGACAATCCCCGGCTCTGCCCATTGCTCATTGTGCCTTTTCAGGCGGGTCACTTACCTCTTGTGAGTGTGGGCTACAGCTGCCGAGTGGGGAAAGCCCACCAGCCAGAGTGGAGCCTTGCTCCGTGCCGGGCAGGCGCTATTTCCTTCCGCTCCTTATGGGAGTCCAGAGACCTCACTTCTGCCTTCGAGGGTCTGAAGCTTGGAACAACAAATCAGCATTGTCTCTGATGTGCTTTGTAGCATTAACGGTCTTTGATTCTAAAACCCAGGTGAAGCCAAGGTCAGAGGAAGGACAGAATCCTAACTTCCAAGCTAAAGTTCTTTCTAGGACCCCCGAGGAGAGTGTGGCTCCCCTTCAGCACCCCTGGGCTGGGGCTTGCACGCTGCTCGCCCTGTATGTGCTGTATCTGCCAGCAATGGCCCGGCTCGCCACACTCACATCAAGCTCACTGTATGCAGTCACGAAAACATGTCATCTACATGTCATGTGTCGCGAGCTGCAGGTCTGGTAGCCTTCTGAGGCCTTAATCAAAGATGAAGATGTCAGGGAAGAGGCCATGTGTTGAAAGTGTCAAGAGAGAGAGAAAGAGAGAGGCAGAGAGAGAGAAAGAAAGAGAGAGAGAGAGCTCTCAGGCCTCAGATAAATGATCTGCTGCTTACTGGCTGATTTACTGTTAATTTCTGCAAAATCTCAGGCAGCTGGAAAGGATGCCGAGAGCTAACCACAGGGGTTCTGAGACACAGCTGCAAATGCCTCCAGGATTGGCCACCGCCTATGGGCAAGGGCTGGGGAGTCAGTGAGGATTTGGGGATCGGACAGGCTGGTGTCAGATCCCTCACTCTCTGTGGGACTGAGCCCTCTGAATCTCACATTTCCTCGTCTGTGAACTTGGGACAATGATAGACACCCCACAGAGTCACTTGGAGTATTAAAATGGTACAGAGGACAAAGGTAGGCGGGGAGCTAGACTCCTGGACTGTGGTCTCCTGGTTACTAACATCTCCCGGCTTAACTATTCTGTGCCCAGTGTCCCAGCCACCAGCCAGGCCTCATAAATATTTACACCCAGCCTGTGTTGCGATGCTCAATTAATTGCTCTGGTGACGCACTTTGAGGGCCTCAGAGGAGAGGTGTTGTGTGAGGCCCCGGGATTATTAAAGGCACAAACAAGTCTGCTCACAGAAGCCACATCCTCCGGAGCCTTCCATGGCCCCAGAGCTTTTCAGATCATTGCCCGAAATCTAGGCAAGATAGCACTTCCAAAAGCACCCTGTCCAAAGGTGAATGTGGTGGCCAGGCAAAGTCCTCATTAGAAAATGGACAGATAGCTGTACAGATAACCTGTACAGATAACTCACGACAGAAAAAAATCCAAGTGTTCTAAAACTTGAAAAATAACAATAATAATTCAGCCTCACTAGTCATCAGGAAAGTGAAACAGGTAACATGAGGAATTAAGTGTCAAGTAGGCAAAATTGTTTTAAAGGATGGGATTTAATGGTGGTGAGATACAGTGAGAGATGGTCACTTCTCGCTCTGTGGAGTAGCTTCTAAATTGACCCAACTGTGGAAGGAAATTGCATGATCTACAGCGAGGGGCTTCGAAGACTCATGTTGCCTGACCCTTTCACTGCACCTGCTGGAGTCTCTTCATGGAAATATCTGGTGATTCGACTAAAATGTGCCCTGCAACTTTATTCACAATAATAAAAACTAGCAAGAACTCAAATGTCCCCTCTAAAAGTCACACAGGCAATAAATACCAAGTTTTTGAATAACCGCTAAGATATATAATGTATTTTTAACATCAATAGCCCATACTTTCTTTTGCTATTTTTGCTACTTATATGTTTAAGTGTGCTCACACATCCTTATAAACACATACACGTATGTACAGAGGATTTGCCAAAATATTACCTAGGGTGTTGATTGTTATTTTCTTCTACACTTTTCTATTTTCCATATTCTCTATGATGAGATGTTATTTTAGATCTATAACAATATGAACATCAAGAAATCATTCCAGGGGCTCCTCCTGGGTGGCTCAGTCGGTTAAGCATCCGACTTTAGCTCAGGTCATGATCTCGCAGTCCACGGGTTCGAGCCCCGCGTCGGGCTCTGTGCTGACAGCCAGCTTGGAGCCTGGAGCCTATTTCAGAGTCTGTGTCTCCCTCTCTCTCTGCCCCTCTCCTGCTCACTCTCTCTCTCTCTCTCTCTCAAAAATAAATAAACATTAAAAAAAGAAGAAAAAAGAAATCATTCCATAGCTTGATCTGGGAAAAATGCCTGTGACAGCAGCCCCCTCCTCTGGGGAAGGTATGTAACTGTATGTAGCTGACACCTCGGTTCTCTTTTCTACCCTAGGTCATGGCCTCGAGTCAACAGTGCCGCGGGTGAGTCAGGGGCCCTCAGTCACCTAAGCGGTGGGAATGCCAACATGGGTCTGATACTCTTCTATCCATTCTTTTCTGCTTTTCTTTTGATAAAACTTTTGGCCTGTTCAAAATGGCATTAGCTGCTTAGGGTTTCTCTCTCTGGTTGCTCCCAGAGTGCAGCCGGTCTGTCACTTCCACGGGTTTTGGGAAGCTGCCAGGTGGAGGGAGAAACCCGGACTTTCCACTTATTAGCTGTGTAGCCTGGGATGAAGCACAGATCCCTCTCTGTCCAAGTCCCTCATCTGTCAAATGGGTAGAGGTCAGCCTAAATGTCAGTGTTGTGGCCACTCAGTAGGGCTCATTCAACTAAACTCTATGTAGTGGTTCCCCCCAAAATATGTGCTGAATGGATGGATCAATCAGAAACCACATTTTATGGTTTCTCTTGCATCTCTTTTCAGAGCCTAGTTCCAGGTACAAGGCACTGAAAAGAATCCCATTAAAATTTGAGTAAAAGTATGTACTATTCATCTTGGAGCATTATTATTTCAGGGGGAGTCCAAGAAAACTTCCCTAGAGAGCTGGTGGCTAGAAATGACTGCAGTGAGACAGAAAAAAAAGTGAGAAATAGACCAGAAGTGTGCAAAGAAGGGATAGAATCATAGGGAATGATGTAATCCTCAAATGAACTCAAATATTCATAATGGTGCGTGTTGGAGCATGTAACCAGCACCCAGCACGTCCCAAATAGCAGTGAGGAGAAGTGCAGAAAAGCAAAATCAAAACTGCAAGTATGAATATAAATAAGAAACAAGCACCCAGCTCTAATCCCTCTTACAGAAAATGCTTTCGTTAAGCTTCCCAGTCATTTGCTAAGAAAGATTGCGTTCTCTCCAGGGAGATGCTTCCAAACTCTCCTGGAGTCTTTGACCTCAGATGTACCTCTCTCCACCTGGTTGCTACCTCTCATCCCTTCCCACCATCCACTTAGAGTCCTGGGGGTACTCTAGATATTTCTAGATACTTCCAGGATATTGCCCGGAAATGAAGTTGCCAATTTGAGGCAGTGGCTGGTGAGTTATAAACCATGTGACCCATACTCCTCTCTCGTCACCTCCCTCTCCACACTCAGTAACTTACAGTTGGATATTCATTCCATTTCATTAATGACATTCTAGACACATAAACAGGGGAGAAAAACAAAAGCAAATCAAAACCCCAAGAGACTTGATTGAGATAAAGCTGCCCAGACCTGCCCGTACACACTGGAATCTATATGCTGCCAAAAATATCAGCAGCAAATCATACCACCCAGCCTATGCATGCTTATGAACCACAGCCAAGTATCAATTAAAATAGAACACCACTGATATAATCAAGGATTTACTTGATTCACATAACAGGCTGTTCGTCATGGTGATATTTATAACATCTCTAGATATTTTTAAGTTGTTTGCAATTTTTTTACTGTGAGATTAATTGAAAATACGGTCGGACAGCCATATGATGGAATACTATATAGCCATTAAAAAGATGGCATTGAAGTGTGTATAGCATGCTGTTGTATGACGGAGCAGGCAAAAACACAGTGTGTTCATATAAACATAGACTATATCACGTGTGCATACACGTGTGTGAGTGACTTAGCTATAATCAAACGTTTACAGTGGTTGTCTTGGTTTGGGGGCAATATAGTAACTTTTATTCCCTTCTTTTCTGCTGATCTGTATCTTATAATTTTTCTCCAGTAACATATATTGTTGCATGTTAAAAATAATCTATAAAAAAATATGCCAGGCCTGGAAAAGACAGACGCATAACCCATCTTGGACAATCTGTTAACACCAATACCTTATGTTAAGCTGACATAGAGAAGCGTGCCATGGTTTTCTGTAAAATAAAGTCAGGAGTTTCTCTCCTTCTACTGATTAAAGAATGAAATTAAAGAAGATAGTCCAATCTGAAAAGTGGCCCTTCTCTCTTAAGGTGCCATACACATAAAACCCTGGTAAAGAAATAGATTGGCTTTTTTCCACTAAATGGACAAGAAATTGTATTTTGTACAGGATCACTTGTTTTGTTTTTGTGTTTCTTCCTTTGTTTCCTAAGGAAAGTTGGTTTTTCCCACTTTTGAAAGAAAAATGAATAAGGATTTTAGGAGTAGGTAGAGGAAAGGTGGGTATGGTATATGTGAGCATCCAATGCCCCCTGCTGGCCCTATGTAGACATTGCGACTCTTGTATTAATTTTGCAGAGGCGGGTTCTCCCCCAAGACGTTGGGAAAATGGGTGGACAGGACAATTTGAAAAGTTGACAGCTGAATTGCTGGGAAAAGGTGTTCCCCTAGTTCTCTAAGCACAAGTCAGGATTTCAAATCATCCGCGATTGCTAAGCCCAAGGGTTCACAGTTGTCTCTAAAATGTATTGCGCGTCAGAATCACAGCAGTCAAAAATTCATATTCTCAAGCCCACTCCCAGGTTTATGTTTTGACAGGTCTGTAGTGAGACTGGGGAGACCCTACACTTCACAAGATAATTTCAACTCATGTAGTGCTAGGATGGTCTTTTGAGAATCACTGGTTGAAGCAAAAGAAAAAAAAAAAAGAAACAAAGAAAGAAAAGAAAGAAAGAGAAAGAAATGATTAAGACTGTCTCTACCAAGAAGCTGCTTTCAATTCTCTGGACAACAACTGTCTCAGAATATTTTATTTGAGTTTCTGGAGATCACCTGAGAAATGGAATGGGAGACAGCTGCCTTACCTACCACTATCCATCCATCCAACCAATTTGTGGTTGTTTTAACTGTAACCACGATAATACCCAGCTTTGAGCACAGTTTTTTTAAGAAAATGAGAATAAAAGGTCCTAGGGACTCAGCTTATTTCAGATACTAATACCATGCTCTACAGATTAGGAAATCAAGAATTAGAGAAAGGAAGTGAACTTCCAAAGGCCACTATGGAGACCATTAAAACTATTCACCAAACTCTCACTAAATGCTTCACATATAGCTATTTCTGTGAGATTGGGCCATTTGTGGCTTAGAACATCAGCTCATACTCTTCAGATCAGGTGACTATGATTCTGAAATGCACAGAAAAGCTATGTGCCAGAGCTGGTAAATACCTGGGAGACAGATATGACATACATTATATGTACATGTGTGCATATAATCTATATCCATCTCTGTTTCTGTCTGTCTCTTTCTCTCTTCCCCTTCCCATTTCTGTCCTTTCCTCCTTCCTCCTTCTCTTCTTCGCAAGCCTAAGTCATATAGTCAAAGCTCATTGGACATCAGAATCCTTTCCTCGGAGACGCTGCGAATGAAGGCAAGGAAGCTCATTCCTGCCTCTCCCTACAGCTGTGGATTGATGCCAAACTGAAGATGTTCTATAGTTTGAAAGTAGCCAGGGGAAAGTGTGTGGACTATGCTATTTCCCATCCTATTGAGATGAAGGTTTCCCATCCTATTGAGATGAAGTTTAAATGGATGCCCTCTGTCTCCAGAGACCTTGTGGTTCCTAAAAGACCAACACTGAGGAAGGCAGCACAGGTAGAGGAAAAAACCCTGAGCCAGAAGTCTGGAGCCCAGAATTTGAGTACTGGCTCTGTGACATCCATGAGACCAGCTCTCAGGTGCTGACAATATCCACAGTATAAATTAGGTAAACTGAGTGCCAGAGAAGCTATATCCCCCAGGAAGAAATCAGCAGCATAGAACTCAGACTCATCACAATACACCTGTTGGTGCTGTGTGCCAAGCAGTGTTCTCATCTTTAAAATGAGGATGTCAACCAACCATGGTCACTGGATCCCTGGGCCTCACAGCTGGACGGGGTGCCCGCTTGAAGGGCTGTTGGGAAGAAGCGACAGAGCCATGTCGATGGAGCTGAATGTTGAAAAAGGCACTGTTTTGTTTTAAAATGAGAACCCAGTAATGATCAAGTTCCTAATATGGATCTGAAAGCAGAGTACTCACAATCTCAATTGAGCAGAAAAGATTCAGTCATGAAGTTGAACTTGAAATGTAGAACACAGCCATTCATTGGGGGAGCATGTAGCCAAAGGGGGTTATTTTGTTAAGCTTCTCAACAGCTGTGTGGGGGCAGACACTACTATTCTCATTCTACAAGCTGATATTAGTTAACTGAGGCTTGCAGGCTCGCCCGAGGTCACGTGGCCAGAAACGGGCACAGGCAGTATTTGAACCCAGAACTTCTCGTTCAGCTTCCATGAATTATGTGTTCGTGCCTTTGATCAGTAGCTCTGCTACATTTTTGGTGAATTCCTAAGATGACCTCCACAAGGAGATAAAACAGTAAAGGCTGAAAGACACATTAGGAAGACATCACGGGGGCTTAAACGGGACATGTTTGTTCAATTCTTATGTAGGTCAAGTGCAGAGGTAAGCAGTCCAAGGCTGTTTAGCCTCAGAGGTGCTGCTCCCTCCCTCGTACTGGCCTCCATCCCAATGCCTAAAATAGTGACAGCTATGCTCCAGGCAGCAGGAGAGAGGAAGGGAAGAAAAAGAAAAAAATAAATAGTTGACAACAATTTCTCTTCAGAAAGTTTCCTGGAAATTGTGAATTGATTTTCCAGCTTCTCCATTTGCCAAAACTTGGACTCACAGGCACACATTACCACAAGGAAGCTCAGGGTGTGTAGCAAGAACTTGCACTAGGTGCCCATGGACCCAGCCAACCTTCAGGGTTTCTGGGACGGACAGAGGAAAGTGGGCATGGAAAGACACACAGCCAGCTCTGCTCAGGGGTTCCTAGTGATGGGTCATTGGGGCCCATTGGCCTGTCCCTTTCCCCCCACGTACGTAGGAGCAAGCCCACTGGCAGCCTCTGGGGTCGGAGCCAACACTAACCTTCACCATGACTCGCCCAGCACCGCCCCTGCCCTCCGAAACCTTGTGACCAAAATGAAAACTGAAGCTGCCTCTGCTTGGGGGAACCTGCCTAGTTTGGGAATGCCACCATGCGAAAAAGCTGCTGACTTCACTGCCCAGAAAATCAGGAAGTTCCTAAGCACTGAAAGCTTCCTACTTTTACTTCTCTTCTCCCACCAGAGAAGCAGCTTCTCTTTATGGGACCTGTTGGGAATTGCTTCAGGAGGCGGTTTCCTTTGAATGCGACCATCCCATAGAGCCTGCCCCTGGGGACACAGCCAGCACCCCCTTCCCAGTAGAGGCACTAAAATGTACAAGCTGGCGCCCCCAGGGTCTCTTGTTCAAGGAAGTGTTTACACGTGCAAATAGCCCAAGCTTCTCGCTAAGTATATCTGACCCACGTGGCCCATCTCCTATCAGCAGGGAGTCAGAGCTTCTAACAGAGATCCGCAGACCTCTATGAGTATAGATGTCATCAGAGATCATTGTGCAGAAGGTAGCTGCTTTGCAGTGAGGCTCAGGTTTTGCTTTCTATCCTTCTTTTTTTTTTCTTTAAAGCACCCAAGATGCAAGTAGTCAAGGGACCTTAACCTGGTGGCCACCGGCCATACGCCTTTATCATGCCTCTATAGTCATGAAAAGAGGTGTCCATGCTGATAGCCAAAGGCTGGGGCAATGGCCTCCACAAGTCAAGAAAGACCCCTGAACCTTTCACAGCACATATTTATCTTCACGTCCCTTCTAAAAATAACTTTCAAGGGAATGTTGTTTTTGTAAAAAGATGCTGTTTCCTTGAGAGGAACGCAGAAGTCAGTTGTTCTCTGGAGCTATTTGGTGTCAGTGGGTGATGAACGGCCCTCCACGGACACATGAGTGGAGCTCTTCCAGGATGATGGGTAAACGTCCTTCATCATGTTAGAAAATGGCTCTCTCTGAGGAACCAGCCTCTCCTTCAGCTCCAGGGAGCCCAGACCTGGAAGGGTTTGGGATGCTTCTGTGCTGGGGGTCTGGAGCCAGCAGGAAGGAGTGTCCAACTCAAGCTTGCTCAGCCAGGGAGGAGATCAAGTTCTATTTTCAGTCTATCACAGGTTCTCAATTCCAAAGGACTTCCACCGTACCACACGCTATTCGCAGGCGACTACGCAGTCACTGTGTCCTTGCCATATACTGGATTCCAGGAGTGATCAAGGGCTTAAAATCTCCGTGCTGCCTTGGGGGAGGCAAATGCCATGGTCTGTAACTCTATAGCGTATTTATTGGCTTGCTTTGTTCCTACATGCTACACAGAAACCAAAAAGAGTGTCTTAATCAGGAGGGGCTAACATCTATAATGCATCAACTACAAATGTTAGTAGTTCAATAAAATGAAGATTTATTTCTTGTTCACATCACAATCCAGTGTGGATTGAAAGAAGTCTTTTCCCCAAACACTCACTCGGGATTCACTCTCCTTTAACCCAGTGGCTTCCATAATCCCTGAAGGCCTTGGAGTCTTCTGTCTCTAGCCAGTCCCCAAGGCAAGAATAAGAGCATCAGGAGTCAAGAGAAGGAGAGGGTCAAGTGCATCATCCTGGAGTGGAGCACATGCCCCCACCTTGTTCCAGCGGCCACAGCACCATGCCACGGCCACCCAGTGCAAGGGATACTGGGAAATGTGTGCCAGCCGAGGGCTCACAAGAAGAGGAAATAGGTCTCGGTGAGCATCCTCACAGCCATGTGAGGGGTTTGAGGTAGTGAGGACATGGGCTGGAGAGATGCTCCTGAACTTTACCTAAGATTGGTGGTCCAGGAGTGTCTCCTCAGGAAGATGACATTTAAGATCTGATCTGATGGATGGAAAGGACCCCGACACAGGAAGAGCTGAGGAGAGAATGTTCTGGACTGAGGCACAGTGCATGCATATCTCTGAGGTTAAAAGAAGCTTGGCATCCTGGAGAGACGGAAAGAAGGTGATGTGGCTCACTTCAGAGGCGAGGAAGAAACTGGAAAGAGATACACTTAGAGAGGGGGCAAGAACGAGGCTATGCTGGGGGCTGGGACCAGGGCAGGGAATCTGGACTGTGTTTCATGGGCCATGAGTGACATGAACTGATTTACAGTTTTAAGACTATGCTTTAAAAATTACATTTCCAGGGGCGCCTGAGTGGCTCAGTTGGTTAAGCTTCTGACTTCAGCTCAGGTCATGATCTCGCGGTTCGTGGGTTCGAGCCCCGCGTTGGGCACTGTGCTGACAGCTCAGAGCCTGGGTCCTGTTTCAGATTCTGTGTCTCCCTCTCTCTCTGACCCTCCCCTGCTCATGCTGCCTCACTCTCTCTCTCTCTCCCTCTCTCTCAGAAATAAATAAAACATTAAAAAAATTAAAATTTTATTTCCAAAACTGCATAGTTAGTAACACAGACAGGTACTGCAACAGATAAAGGCAATTCCTTCCCTAAAGAAGGGCTGAGTACATGCACAACAGAGAAGTAATCAAAGGCTGCCTATTTTTATCTAAGTGTCACTGCTAGTGAGACAGGAAATAAGTGCTCTGACAATTCAGTGGCATTAAAGTAGCCCAGAGTGGTCCGAGAGGGAAGTCCCAGGAAGATCTCAAAGGGCACCGAGCATTATGGAACGCAGGGCAGAGGAGATGGGGACATCAGGTGGAATCGACACCAGCAAAGACCCAGAAGTGGCATGAAATATATTTGCGGGGGGGAGCGGGGGGTCCCAGGGAGTCTCGGGCTACAAGCTCATGAAAGGAGAAACTAGTCCTACAGCTCTCTGTGGGGATGTCGGTATAATGACCATGTTCAATAAGGCCAATTTCCTATAAGAAAGTTACATCAAGCTCTGAATCAGACAGTGGAGCTGCCTTCCTAGAACACGTGAGCTGGAGCAGATCCCCAAAATTTCGGTGCTCATTTATTTGCTCCCTCCAGACCGGCTGGTTTTTATGGGTGACCTTATTTTAACTCAATTCATGAGAGAGTCCCAATCGCTCTGAAGGGCTAGAAATGCTGTGGGGTTTTCCTCCAGTGCTCTCAGTGTGGGTATAATTATACTGGGACAGGAAGGTATCAAGGTATCATTTGTGGCTTAGGACAGTGGTAGCTGTGAGCCACACCACCAGGAAGGGCTGGGGCTGGCAGCAGGTGCAGACAGATTCCTGCTCTTCCTTCCTCATTATCTCAAGGAGATTAGCTCTGGCTAGTTAACACTTCCCTGATGCACTGGTCCTGAGCAAATTCCAGAGAGCTGTGTTTTCACTGAGCCAAACTTTCATTAATTTACACATTACACTCTACACAAGGCTTGGGCATGCTAACACAAATTCCCAGCTATTAACTGCATATTTTGGTATAGTAACGGAATTCAGAGTGGAAGGTCAAAAGTCTACGAGCATGACAAAGGCCAGACCAAGATGTAGAAATACACATCAGACCGCAGTCCTCTATGTGACCTGGACACAGGCCAGACATTTGCCCTGAGATTCTTAACAGGAGGAAGGGAAATATGACCTCTTCTAAAATTGGCGTTTTCCATTAAATCAAAGCAAACCAATTGCTGAGAAGCACGCACCTCCTGAGACCCACTAGAAACTTCTCACATATGGGCTAATAAAGAGCATTTTCTGCTTACAGCATTCCTCAATGCAGACTAACAGCATGATGCTATAATACAATTTAGGAAAATTAAGTCTAGAGGAAGCAAAAAAAAAAAAAAATCCTGCAGATCATGTGAGCTGTTCTTTGGTGGCTTGGTATCACGTGAGGGTAAAGTTTAAAGCAGAACATGGATTGTGCACTTGATGACCTCCAGGCAATCTTGCATAAAACAACCCCAGTGAGGGGCATGAGCATTGAGAAATCTCAAATGAATGAACCTTATTCAGCAAATGTCTGTCAAGAACTCATCTGTTCAGCGTTGGGCTCTGTGCCTGGAGCTAGGGACAGATGAGTGAGTAGACCTGTCCCCTGCCCTCCAAATACCTCCAGTCTGTTCAAGGAGATGGATGTATGGCATATTACAGCAAATGCTATGTGCATGCCAGAGGGTGCAGAGGGGGAAGTAAACGTCTTCATTGGCCCAGATGCTGCAGAGTCGTGACCCGGCACATCTGATGCGGGGCAGAGGGGAGTCCTTCTAACCTATTGCTGAACTGAGGTAGAATGAACGAGACTTCCTAGTTTGGGTTTGATTGTCCAGACTCCTTTCTCATTACCCCTGCTTTGCAAGAGCAGCAGATAGAATGAGAGGTATGGTAATACACATTGCATTTTAGGCAAGCATCATCAAGGGGAATTAATGGAAATGAGCACAAGATTTCTGGAGAACACAAGGGTCACTCTTTTCTGTGTTTTGCAGTAATGTTCGGTCTACTTTTGTTGGCAGGCCAGTACCGGAATATCGAGGAGCCTCTTCATTGTGTAAGTCAGCCAACTCCCCTACCTACTTGTTGATCTTTGAAACTGACAAAGAGAGTGGCTTTTTTTCAATCTAGGTACTTGGTGAAGTTAAAAACAACACAGAACACCCAGGTGGCTCAGTTCATTAAGTGTCTGATTTCAGCTCAGGTCACGATCTCACGGTTTGTGAGTTCAGGCCCCGCGTCAGGCTCTGTGCTAACAGCTCAGAGCCTGGAGCCTGCTTCGGATTCTGTGTCTCCCTTGCTCTCTGCCCCTCCCTCCCTCACATTCTGTCTCTCTCCCAAAATAAACATTCAAATAGATCAATCAATAAGTAAACAAACAGAGAGGCAAAAAAATCAAACCCGTCTTCCAATTCCTCAGCTATGAAATGGAGATAAAAATTAACTGACATGGCCACTACAATGATTAAATAAGGTGAAAATATCAACACATAGTGCTGGCAAGGGTGTGATGAGAAAAGACTCATGATGAAATTGTAAATCGGAACTTCCTTTCTGGAAAGCCATTACATAATAACCAATCAACATAAAAATGTCCACTTTCTCTGGCCCAATAATTCTATGTTTGGGAATTTAAACTAAATCTAAAATGTGGATTAATATTTAAACATACTCATTTATATTTTATATTCATATATTCATATGGAAACACTGGAGGGGCTTCTGAGTAGCTCAGTCAGTTGAGCGTCCGACTTCAGCTCAGGTCATGAACTCACGGTTCATGGGTTCAAGCCCCTCATCAGGCTCTGTGCTGACAGCTTAGAGCCTGGAGCCTGCTTCTCTCTCTGCCCCTCTCCTGTTCATGCTGTCTCTCTCTCTCTCTCTCTCTCAGAAATAAATAAACATTAAAAAAATTTAAATGAAAACCCTGGAATCATTCTAAATATTCAATAGAAAAAAATTGACTATAGTATGACATTCATATTCTGAGGCCATATTTACAAAGAAGTTTAATGATGGAAGAAAATTTGAAATTATAACATGAACTCCGCTTCTATGTTACAAGTAATTTTATTGTTAAATTGTATATATATTTTTTAATTTTTTAATGTTTATTTATTTTTAGAGACAGAGAAAGACAGAGCATGAGCAGGGGAGGGGCAGAGAGAGAGGGAGACACAGAATCTGAAGCAGGCTCCAGGCTCTGAGCTGTCAGCACAGAGCCTGATTCGGGGTTCGAACCCACAAACTGTGAGATCATGACCTGAGCCAAAGTGGGATGCTCAACTGACTGAGCCACCCAGGTGCCCCAAATTGTATATAATTTAAATAGTTCTAACTAACATATCTATAGATAGATATATCTGTAGATAGGATATGGAATAGGTAGAGATAAATGAAAGAAAGAAAGAGAGAATCTGCCTGTAAAATCTTTGGTTCTTTACTGTTTGAAATAGTTCTTTAAGAATCAAATTGAAGCTATGAAGCTATGTATCCTCACCCCAGGACACACACACACACACACACGCACACACACACACATGCACACTATATATCAATCAATCAATCACAAAATATTTTATAAAGTAGGAGGTTTATGGATGGAAAACAGGAGTTTTTAATAAAGATCCCCTGTCATTGGTAGTAGATAGATAGCAAACAGATTAATGGATAAACAAATGTAACTCATTATATTTAAAATAAAATTCTGGGGCACCTGGATGGCTCAGTCAGTTAAGCATCTGAGTCTCGATTTAGACTCAGGTCATGATCCCATGGCCGGGGGGATCAAGCCCTGAGTCAGGCTCTTTGGAGCCTGCTTGGGATTCTCTCTCTCCCTCTCTCTTTGCAAACCCTTCCCAGCTTGCACACAGGCTCTCTCTCTCAAAATAAATAAATAAACATTTTAAAATAAAATAAAATAAAGTTCTGTCTCTTTCTCATTCTGGAAAGAGATAAACCAAAAAATAGATTTGGTCCTGGGGGCAAGATTCTCAGGGTCTGGTGTGGATGACTGCTGTCTGTCTGGTGTCCCTCTGTGTCCTGCCCCCACAAAGTCTAGCCAGGCAGCTGGACTAAAGATGGGCCCTGTCTCAGATTCTCCCAGCAGGTCCAAATTCGTAAATAGATTGCGCTCTGAGGACTCTTGGTGGTTGCCACAATAACATGTAAATGGTGCCATTGCAGCAAACATCCATTGGCCACATCCCTAAAGGAGTCGCTCCAGTTCTGAACTCATTTCTGTATGCACTTCTCGGGGAGAACAGCTCAGCCACCTTCCCCCGCTTTGCCAGGTCAACTGTGAAATGCCCTGGGGTTCCCCTTCCGGCAGCTTTGCTTTGCCCTGGGCACTCAGCTCTACTGAAACTCAGTATATCATCTACAGGGAAGGGATCTATCATGTCCTGAGCTCCTGCCACGGGCAGGTGTCAAAGTAGAACCTTTATGCACTTTTTACTCAGTTAATTTCTGACTACAACCAAATAAAGAAGGTTTAGCCTACTTGTAAATCTCCAGTTTACAGATTGAGCATGTGAGTCAGGGAGGTTAAGTAACCTCCCCATGGTCATAAAGGGAACCCACAGTTTCAATCTAGGAGTGGATGGCTCCATCCTGGGTCCATGCTGTCCCAAGACAGAATTCCCATCCAAGAATTCCCAGTCTGAGTCCTGCTTGCCTCCTGACACCAGACCAAGGAGGAGGGGTGTCATAGCTGTAATGTCTGGTTGCTAGGGGCACAGCATCAACACAACCATGCAAATGGTCCCACTTGAACTAAGTTCAGTGACTTAACCTCTTTCCTTTGGGTCACCAAGCTCTCAACTTCCATCCTGTTCCTGCTCCCAGGTCACTGTGCTGGTCCCTGGTCTCTGCACCTGAGCTCCCTGAATTTTATGACTTCATAACTTGCGCAAGTCTTCAGTTCTTGCAGGACTCAAGCCTCACTTTCCTTTTAGGAGCTCTCCCGTGGGAATCGAGGACAGCACACTGAACGCCAAGCTTGCAGTTCAGTGAGCCCATCTCCTTCTTTACACCATCCCCAGGGAGAACACAGACTTATTAAATTGCATTCTGCACCCTGGCATCAAATAAGCAGTTTCTTAGAACCAAAGTAGAGCCTAAAAAGCCTTCCAGACAGGGGTCTGGTGAGTTCTCACGACACTACTGCTTGCCTGGAAATCAGGCCCATCATGGACACTGTCTTTACCTTTACCAAACTGCTTTGATAGAGCAATGATGCCAGAAGTCATACACTTGGAGCCTTGGGGCTGGTAAGCAACCAGAGAACTGGAATAATGAGAACTGCAATAAAAATGCAAGCCTCTAGGGGGTCCCCTGGGTGGCTCAGTCAGTTGAGCACCTGACCGGCTCAGGTCATGATCTCATGGTTCTTGAGTTCAAGCCCCTTGTCAGGTTCTGTGCTGACAGCTCGGAGCTTGGAGCCTGCTTCAGATTCTGTGTCTCCCTCTCTCTCTGCCCCTTCCCTGTTTGCTCTCTCTCTCTCTCTCTCTCTCTCTCTCTGTCTCTCAAAAATAGTTTTTAAAAATCTTTAAAAGAATAAATGTAAATAAATAAAAGGCAAGCTTCTAATTACGCCTCCGTCCACTATAATAAAACCACTTTCTGGATTGTTGGGCTTATACAATGAAACAAAGTACATAAAGTGCCTAGCACATATAAAGTCCTTAACAAATGTTAGAGGCATTTTAAGAGGAGAACTGGTGGCTTTGCCTTATCTCTGAATTTCTTCAATTGCCATTATTATATGGCAGTCCCAGTAATAGTAGTTATAACTACTATTTTTTAATTATTTAATGTTTATTTCTTTTTCAAAGAGAAACAGAGTGCAAGAGGGGGAGGGGCAGAGAGAGATAAGGAGACACAGAATCCGAAGCAGGCTCCAGGCTCTGAACTGTCAGCACAGAGACGAATGTAGGTCTTGAACCCATGAACCATGAGATCATGACTTGAGCCAAAGTCAGACACTTAACCGACTGAGTCACCCTGCTGCCCCCTATAGCTACTATTTACTGAGTCAGTTTTGACCATCCAGCTTTTTGTTCAAAATTTTACATGCTTTGTCTCATTTAACTTCTGGTTGCCAAAGTCACTCTATAACTATGGGTAATTGTATTAGCGGGTGTGTATATATCATCTACTCAAACATAAATTTGAAGTGGTGTCTGAAAAAGATACCTCTGCGAATGGAGAAATTATAGTATAAATGAAAAATTTTAAATCATCTCAAAGAAATAATTACACCTTAAATCTAGGTAAAATCTGTTATTTTATGTACCTGGTAGTTAATAAACCTATATTAAGAATCTACTATGTGAGAAAGAAAGAAAGAAAGAAAGAAAGAGAGAAAGAAAGAAAGAAGAAAAGGAAAGGAAAGGAAAGGAAAGGAAAGGAAAGGAAAGGAAAGGAAAGGAAAGGAAAGGAAAGGAAAGGAATGGAAGGGAAAGGAAGGGAAGGGAGAGGAGAGAAGAGAAGAGAAGAGAAGAGAAGAGAAGAGAAGAGAAGAGAAGAGAAGAGAAGAGAAAGAAAGAAAGGAAAGGAAAGGAAAAGAAAAGAAGAACACCAGATATAGTTAAGCAATAAAACAGTAGCTTTAACTCTTTAATCTTTGACTACAAAATAATTGGGAATCCGGAGAACGAGTTAGTGTGCTGCCCAATTCACATAGTGTGGCTGGGATTGGCTGGGAAGAAAGGCTTTCTGTAGGGGAACAAAGGAACTTACAAACTTGGATCTGAGCCCAGGCTCCCATTCCTCGCCATGGCGCTAACCGGTTCAAAGAATCATGGGTGTGGCGACACAAGAAATGCCCCAGATTCTTCGCCCATCATCTTAGGCTCAGAACAATTCGAATACCTGGTGCTGGATTCCCGTGTGGATGTGGTCGAAAACCTGGTTCTGCCCATGGGGGACACCGAGGACCCGTGTGGCTTTCAGAAGCCACCATTCCCAGTTTCTATATTTGTAAAAGTAAGATATACAGTCTTACTTTTGAGGGCCAAACTGGGGAGTGTACATGCAAATCTCTTGTAACTGGACCTGTTGTTCATAGTCATGGCCATTTGGAGTCTTAGTAGAAACTATAAGAAGAACGAGGGATGTTACTGTATGAAATGAAAGATCACTGAGATTAGTGTCCAGGCTGAAACACAGCACCATGCTGAATTCAGATCCCAATACACAGGTGCAAATTCCAGAATTTCTGTGATGACAATTACATCTCTTGCCGAGCAGTACCCAGTCCTGCCCTTCCCACTGTTCAGACTTGGAGCTCATTACTGGTATATAGAAATACAAGTGAAACTTGGGTATTGATCATGTATCCTGATGCCTTACTGAATTGCTTATTAGCTCTAATAATTTTTTAGTGGGTTCCTTGGAATTCCCTACATACAAGATCATATCGTCTGCAAATAGATCCCTTTTCTTCTTGGAAGGGCTCATGTGATTAATTGGGCCACTCAGGTGCTCCAGGATAATCTCCCTATTTTAAAGACAGCTGATTAGTTATCTTAATTACATCCTCAGTGTCCCTTCACAGCAGCACCCAGATTATTTGATTGGATAACCAAGGATGGGAATATTTGAGTACATCTTTAGGATTCTGCCCACCACAAGAATTTACTGCCGCAGACCCCAGCCTTTTAAATGTTTCGCCCTTAGCTAATAGAACCTGTACCACTCCCCTAGCTAGCACTGTAGCCTGTAACCTTTGTTGCAGCTGTACCTTCCCTTGACTCACTCAAATGTTCCCGCCTGCTTAGGAAAGGAACTTTGCTGCAGCAGTCCTGAATGGAGCAACAGACCACAGAGATGGCGAATATGAAGACCCTGAGCTTCATACGGTAGAAGCATGGCAGACAATAAAAATTTTACCAGCCAGGCCTATAAAGGAATCTGAATATGCAGGTAACATCTGGGGCCTAAAGTCTGAGAATGCACGTTCATGACGCAATGTGGCACAGTAATGAAAGTCGATTCTGAATGAAACAACTCTGTGAAAATCCTGACTCCGTGGCTTCCTAGCTGTGTGACCTTGAGCAAGCCAATAAAAATCATTTTCTCTATCTGAAAATAGCATTCATGGTAACAGAACTTACACTCCAAGAGTTCTTTCGAGTTCTCACCAGAGGAACGTGGCATAGAGTCAAAGCTCTGTAACTATTGGTTGTTATTGTCATGATGCTCTTTTTGAGTCCTGGGAACAACTGATGAGCAGGGCAGAAGGTGGACAGGCAGGGCTGTGGGCACACGGGAAATGTTAACACAGAGTTTGCATAATGAGGAGCAGCATGAAAGGGAAGAATTTTTAACTTGGTTGGCTCATTTTGCAGGTAGCCAGCATATACACAGCACCAGGACATGGCACGAGACACAAGCTTTTTAGGAGTAAGGAAGACGTAATTTCCCATCCACCCTTGTGTCTTTCTAACTGGGGCACACCGAGTAGCGTCAGCAAGCTCTCTGAATAGTAGATGTAGCACACAGCTGTAAGGAAAAAAAGGAAGCACTTGTGATTTCTGAGGGCCTCATGGAGATGAGTCTACAGAAGTTCCTCTGGAACTTCATAGTGATGCAACTTCTTTGTCCATTCACTCAACAAGCAGTTATTGAGTGAGTGTCTGCAGGGTGCAGGTACCATGTTAGGCTGGATCAAGCGACACAAAGATAAAGCATGATCCACATTGTCAGGAAGGTCACGGTCTAGAGGCAGTCTATATAATAGACTGTGTTAGGTGCATAATATAGAAGAGAAATCAGGGGTGGGTGTTGTGGGTGGGATCCAGAAATGTTTGCAAAGCTCATGACACAGCACAGAGCTCAAAGGGTGAGCAGGAGTTCCCAAGGCCTGAGAGAGTGATGGGTGTTCCAGTTCAGACTCTGGACTCTGGACCACATCCTCCTCCTTGGGCTTCAGTCTCCTCATCTGCCCAGTGGAAGAAGAATTACTTGCCTTGTGCCTACGTCATAACGATTCAACAGGTTTGTAGATGTGGATGTATTTTGTAAATTGCAATGTGCTGAGTCTACATAGGGTATGACTTTGAATTTTTCTCTTGTCACAGACACACGCTATTTCAAGAGTGTGATGGACACTCCCTTTTCCTTGGATGCCAAGACCTCCATCCCTACGAAGAGCCAACACTGGCACACACGGATGGGGATGGAAGAAGTGAGTAAAACGTTGACTGTGTGAACCCAGTGTGGGCAGGACAATTCCTAGCAGCCAGGAGCATTCCATCGTTCATTCCCAAGGCATCTTGCTAGGTGATGAGCAAGGCGAATTCAGTGAGGGGCAAGGGAACTGGCTGGGATACCTGTTGGGATCATGGTCCTGGGAATGAGCAGAGAGGAGAACGTGCACTTGTGAAGATTTTCTGTGAAGTGTCAGGGTGAGGCATTTTCACAGGCACAGCCCCTGAGGCTCATCCCCTTTTCCAGAAGCAAAATTTGAAATCAGATCTTGTTGATAATAACATATCATTTTGCCCAGATTGTAGGCTCGATGTTGCCAGCCAACTGAGTGGTAAGAAGTAAGTCAAACAGCCTCTCTGAGCCCCTTTATAACCTCATCTATTAAACAGGAATAAAAATCCCTACTGTGCTTTGCTTCAAAAGGCTGTTTGGAGACCCCAAACAAGAAATCTATGAAAAAAAAATCCTGTAAATGCAAATGCTTTACACACATATATAGAATTTCACTTTTAATAATGCTTTTGCTAATGCTTCATTTCCTTAATGCAGAAATGCATAAAATGCAAATGAATCACCCCTGGAGTTGCAGGGCAATCAGTCATGACGCTGTGCTACATTTCATGTCTGTATTCTCTGGGCAGATATATTTCATGCAAGAGAGTCCCTGTGTAGAATATACCTGTCTTTTTTCCTTTTCCTATTGAGTTCTGGTTATAAAATAATTTCCCATGTGATAAACAAGCATTAATAGCATAATCTTTACAGATATATCATACTCCAGTATGGGATTTTTAATTACTTAACCATTGAGTGAAAACATTTTAAAGGCTTTGGTACATATAATGAAATTTCTTTCCTGAAAAACTGTTTCAATGTACCTTCCCAGAAGCCCTATATGAGAGTGTGCACCTCATAGGACTCCCACCAAAACTACCTATTACTTTATTAATCATATTTTAAATGGACTTTACTGTTCTTTCTTTTTCATTTGTGCCACATTTATTAGTGAGTGCGAACATGCTTTTAAATATTTATAGCACATTCTTCCTTGTGCATTATTTGCTCACATTGTCTATCTATTTAACTTGAGGGCTTCTGTTAATATTGATAAGTAAAGGACACTACAAATATTACCACGCTGTGCCATTTACCCAGAGCACATCCAGTAGAGTTTGGGAGAACAAGATGAGGGATGAAATATTGAACATTTCTGCTTTACACAGGCACCAAGCTGAACTTTAATCATTCATTCAACAAATTCATTCAAGAAATATGTGTTGTGTGTCTGCCATGGACCAGACAGTGATAACTTCCCATATGCATTGGTAAATAACCAAGGCCTGCATTCATGAAACTTACATACTGGTGGGAGGAGACTATTAATAAACAAACAAACAAATAATAGGCACTATGTTCAGTAATAGTGCTTTGAAAAGAGAAAAAAAATTAAAACAGGGTAAGGATAGTCAAGGAAGGTATTCCTGAGCAGAGATGGGAATGAATGAATAAGCAAATGAATGACACTTAATCCTTAAAATACCCTTGCAAGATAAGCATTCTAAGCCCCATTTTAACAGCTCCAACTTTTATGAGCTCTTTGAGCCAGTTACTTACCCTCTCTGAGCCTTTATTATCTTAGCCATAAAATCTCATCACTATTACAATAATCCATACAGAGCACAGTGCCTAGCATGAAGCAGTCAGTCACTAGATACCAGCTCCATGAGGTACAGAGAACATTTTAGCCCCAGCACCTAGCACAGCACCTTTATGTAAGAGGATCCAAGAGATATTGGTTACGTGGAGGAAAATGAACACACAAATGAATTCTCAACACTTTGAAGTGAGTCTTGAAATATGAGTAGCAGTTTCATAAACAAAGAGACCCAGGCTGGACTTCTGTTCACATGGAACCCCTTTTACAGCCTGGTCTTCAAAGTTCTCAGGTGAATATTTATGACTGTCAACAAGATCTGCTACTGTGGCAGCCCCAAAGGGACTGTTTGACAGGGAGGAGGATGCTTCTGGCACAAAACATATTCAGGAAACAGTAAGAATTTTAGACCAACTGGATCAATTGCTGAAGGCACAGATTCTGGTCTGGTTATGAAAGATTAGAGAATGTTCACATAAAAAGTTGAGCTTCCTTTTCCCCCAAATAATCACTGATTCATTCCCCTTGACATGTAAGTATGCCCTAATGAGAAGAAAAAAAAATTTTAAGATGATTCTCATGAGAGTTTTTAAACCAACTATGCCAAAATTTAAGGCTCCATTCTTATTAGTGTGTATTTCCTTCATAATATCTTTGTAGCTTTCTGCTACAGTACAGATTTCTTCCTTTAGCGACATCACTTTGCAAGTTGAACTATAATCTCCATATATGGAGTCAAGTAAAATCATGTGAGAAAAAGGAGTGAGAAGATTGGCACACTTTGGTCAGGGTGGGGAGGTTGTCTTATAAATTTAGTAAGGACTTGGCCTCAATTCAGATAAGGAGGGAGTTTTACTTCTATAATCAATGCTTGAATAATCACGTTTTTATGAGAAGCAGATTTCATTTTTTATTATAGGCTCATTCTCAGGAATTAATTCTTACTTGTTCTACATGGTTATGTTGAGATGAAACTATCTGTGAAAGAGATCTTTAATAATCCTGACAGAGGCCAGTTCCTAGCTACAACTATCTTAAGTTGCTTTAACTATCTTAAACTATCACTAAGCTGCTGCTCATCTTTCCATTTATTGAGCACTTGCTATGTATCAAGCACTGTGTTCAACAATGGGGATCGAGAATGAGCCAAGCTCACCGTCTAATGGGGGAGCAGTGGCCCAAACTGGCAGTTCAACATTTCCAACGTAATGTCAAATGCCAAAACAGAGGTGAGCATGGTTCAAAGAATCAACAACACTTAGCCCAGCTAGAGGCTTTTGAGAAGCCTTCTGGAGGGAGCAATGCAAAGCAGTATTTGACACATTGCATGGTAATCGGTGGTTCTCATCAGGGACCATTTTGCTCCCTAGGGGACATCTGGCAGTGTCCAGGGACAGGTGGGTTGTCCAAACAGAGGGAATGCTACTGATGTCTAATGATAGAGAACAGGGATCTTGTAAGCATTCTACAACACACAGGAATTACCCACAGCAAGGAATTATGCAGCCCCAACTCTCAATGGTGTTGAGGTTGGGAAATCTGTGATCTATATCACATAATTGACCCTGTGATATAATATGCTATAATATATTGTGAACTCAGACTTGTGTGCATGGATGAGTCCTTCAGAATCCAAGCTCTTATTCCTCTTTTTCCCTCATAATCTAGCATTGATGCAGGTTTATAGTAGGCACTAATACATATTTATCTGATATAAAATGGGAGTAGCCCCTAGGGAGGGGCAAAAAATATTCCTGGCCCTGGAATCTTATGCTAATTCCATCAGAGGGCACCCACTGGTGGGGTAGATGGAAGGCAAAGAAACCCTCTCCCACGAAGTGAATCCAACTGTCCAAAGACACAAAATTAATTTGGCATCAAAGGGGTAAAGTGCAGGAAAACTGAGGAAACCCCATCCCTAAGACCATAAGCGCGCAGGGCCACCCAAGACAGAGACAACAGAGAGCCTCTCCTATTCCCATGACCTGGCTAGCAAGGCAGGTAGGTAAAAGCATTGAGAGATCCCATCTGTAATGCAGGTACACAGGTGAGATTGAAAGATGAGGGTGCAACAGGACATTGAAAAACCCATTCAGCACCCCAGCCTCCACGGGGTAACCCTGAAGGAACAAGAAGCTGACAGATGACACAGTGAATGAGCCACAGCAATAGCAAAATCCAAATGACACTCAACCCTTACTACATCGATCAGCAGGAGAACCACACACTTTCCAGGCATATACTGTGGTTCAGCGTTGCACAGAGAAAATGTTGACATTGAATATCAAAAGATAAGAAGTAACAGGGAATTCAATGATCCTTCCCCAACCCCATCCACCTTGGCTACCTCAACCTGATTCCAATAAAAAGTAACACTAAGATCCCATATTAGTCAGGTTCCTCTACAAACATAGGACATAATAGATAGATGATAGAGATAGATAGATAGATAGATAGATAGATAGATAGATAGATAGATAGATAGAGACTTGACATAAAGTAGTGACTGTGGAGGCTCAGTCCCATTATCTGCCTTATGAAAGCTGGAGCTCCAGAAAAGCCAGTGGCATAAGTTCTAGTCTGAGTTCAAGGCCCAAGAACCAAGAGAACCAATGATGTAAATCTCAGTGTAGGGCAGAAGACCAATATCCCAGCTCAACACTCAGGTACAGAGGCAAAATTCTCCTTTCCTCTGCCTGTTTATTCTGCTCAGGCCTCAACTGATTAACTGAAGCACACCCACACTGGGGAGGGTGATCTGCCTTAGTCTACTGACTCAAATGCTAATGTCATCTGGAAACACCTTCAAGACATACCCAGAAATAATGTTCAACCAATTATCTGGGCACCTGTCAAGTTGCCACATAAAATTAACCATCATAGACCCCAATATTGACCTAGACTTAAAGGCTTTCAAAACACTAGGCATAATTATGATACCTTCATTTTCTCCTTCTCTACCCTCACATCTAGCAATTATAGAGCCCTTAATGGTTCACCAAAGCCTTTAATAATGTTAATAATGAAAGCTAACAACTATTTAAATATTTTTTAAAAGCTAATGATTATTAAACTTCATTGGTGCCATTTTCTGTTCTGGGCACACTGCATGGTGTGTCTCATGTAATCGTCCCCATCCTCATCAGGTGTCAGTGATTTCTTTGCCTTAATGTCACAGATGAGGAAACTGAGGCTCAGAAGGTCAAGTGACCTGCCACATCCTCATACCTAGCACACGATGAAAATGAAATCTGACATCCACACAAAGCCACACTCTCATCTGCTTGCTTGATCCCTTTCATATTCTTGATCATATACATCAGTCTTCATAATAACTCAAGGATCTGAATTGACTATTTTCCCTATTAAAAGGATTAAAAATCTAAAGCTTATAATATGGTTAATGCCTTCCCACAGCTTCACAGCAAGAAGAGGCAGGATTGGATCCCAAACCCAAGTATTTTTATGCCAGATACCACCTGAGGCCACTACACTGGTCACTGGCACCGCGGTACACATATTTACAGTTAGTTACATGCAGTACTCTATACATATGGTGATCGCTAAGAATCATGAATCCAGGAAGTTATGCCTTGACCCTCGGGAGTCTAACCACACACTTTTGGCAATGCGTTAGATGGTATCATAGTCACAATGGAAGAGATAACGGTGCCACGTTGCCTTCTACAGGTGAACAAACACATTTCCAAGGATTCCAGAAGCCATCATGCCAAAGGTAAGGTCAAGTCACAAAGTTTGAAATACAAATATATTACTTTGCTTTCAAGTTCCTCTTGCATTTTGCTGGTGGTCACAGGTTATCTTAAACAAGGTGATTAGACCATGCTTCGTGAAATAACTAATCCCAGAAAGACTCTCACTCATCTAATGCCTTTTTATCGCCTTACCTTATTGATGAAGAAATTGATTGTGAAAATTCATATTCCGTGGTTGTGTGATCTCAGAAGGGAATTGCCTTGAAACATATGGGTTGCATTAAATATATAACTAAGTTATTTCTCCAAGCATATCCCCAGTAAAATCACAAGATAGAAATCTAATTTTAAAACGTTGATTAATTCATATGAAAACAGATTTTAAAGCTTTAGGCAAAGCAACTCAATTTGGAGATGAAGATACAGGTAGGAAGCTGAAAGGAAATAATCAATTTCAGTAGTGCTGGAAGCACAAATGGAGGACAGCCAAAGAAACTTAATTGGATCATACACATTATAGCTCTCTCATCATTTTCCCTGTGCCTCCGTCTTCTTTCACAATGTCCAATTGGGAAAAATGACAATTCCGTGATTTACACTTCTCAGTACTTGAAACGCACCAAATTCATCTTTTATGTGTCTCATGCTATATTCTATAATACATTATTAACATCACAGTTTCTTTAATGGGAAGGTATAACAGTTAGGGTCCCCACAGGAAACAGATGGCGCACCCAAATGAGGATAATTTAGGTAAGTTTATTTACAAAGGAACTATTTACTGAGGTGTGCAGGGTGTAGGGATGATGTGGGAACTGGGGCGAACAGCAGTGGTATTGTCACCACTCTAGGCTCAAAGGGATGAGGGGACAGTTACAGAAAACCAGAAGAAGAACGCCACCTTGAGAGGAGCAGTGGCCATTAGTTGAGGGACGCCATCAGCCCAAGTGAGCCTCATGGGAGGGAATTCAAAGGAACACATGCCCCACCCCCCTCCCCAACCTGCCTCTGAATTCCTGTGGGGGCCTCCCATTGGCTGAACCCAACCAGAAAGAGAGGGCAGGGCAGCCAACATGTGATCAATGCCGGTCAGTCCCCAAGGATAGAGGTGAGGTGGAGCAGGATGGAGAAGGGAGAGGGTGGACGGGCACAGAGAGAATACCCACAATAGGAAGCATGGGAAAAGGAGCAACCAGCATAGCAAAAACACAGGCTGTGCCATTCCTTTGCTGTGTGGCCTTAAGTAAGTCACCTAACGTTTCTGGGTCTTACTTTCCTCCTCTTTAAAATGTGAAGTGGGCAGAGGTTTTATGACTATCCAATTCAGTAGTATTAACAAAGTTGGGAAACAATAGCTGTTCCCTAGACCTTCTCTCCTCTCCATCCCGCACAGCCTGACAGACCCCTATCAGTCCTAAACTCCCACAAAATGGAGAAGCGTCCATATCAGTGCCTCTTTAGTCCTTAAAATTGTCAGGACTTTCAATGGACCCAGCACTTGATTCAGAGCTCTTCTCCTTAAACTGATCTATTTCAGTCCCTAGAAACAGCAAGCGAATTATGTGGACAAAGTATTTTCACACCTCTTGACAGAGAAAGGGACCAGATTACACAGGGACCCCAGATCAGGCCATAATCATTTGATATACAAATGTCCCACATCACACTAGAACCTTCACAGATGCTCATTGAGAAATGAGTCCTGGAGAAAGAGCAGACAAGAAATGGACCTCAAAACTCCTTTCTTTGTTATATAGTTCACTATAGACATCCAACTTTACTTCTTTGATGGCAGAACCTTCTTTGGCCATTATTCCAAATATCATCCTGTCTGTTTGCCTATTAACATGCTTTGAATCCCCATTCCAACATGTGGGTTGGGGGAGAGCATTTCTCTCCATACCACCACATAGTTCTCAGGCACCAGCGGGGTCTCTGACTCAACCCAGTTCTGATACTATCTACCCAGAGGCAGCATCAGATTTCACAAGCTAAGGGCTCCACCCTGCAAAACTACCCCCACTTCAGGTACCAGTTACAAGTCCAGATTGTCACCTGTGCTTCTGACATACCAGGAATCGATTGGAGGTTCCAATGACTGCCCCCCCTTCCAGGTTCCATTAATTTTCTACAGAGGCTCACAGAACTCAGAGCAACATTTTACTCAGTAGATTACAGTCTGTAATACAGGGATATAAGTTAGCGACAGCCAGATGGAAGAGATTCACAGGATAAGGTATGTGGGTGGGTGTGTGGTACTTCTGTGGTTCCTTTGTCTCCAACCCAAAAGTTCTCCAAACCCCGACCTTTTCGGTTTTTTATGGAGGTTTCATGACATTGGCATGACATTGACATGACATTGACCAATCACTGGGCTTTGGTAAGTGAACTCAGTCTCGAGCTCCTCCCCCCTCCCTGCAGTGGGTGTGGAGGTACGGAAAGTTCCAACCCTCTAGTCTCATGGTGGGCTACCCCCCACAACCATCCTTAGGGGCAGTCCAAAAGTTACCTCCTTAACATAAGAAAAGACACCTTATACCTCTCATCACTTAGGAAGTTCCAAGGCATTTATGGGCTCTCTGACAGAATCCTAGGGAAAAGGACTAAATATATATTTATTATAATGTCATAATACCACAGGGCACCTGGGTGGCTTAGTTGGTTAAGCATCTGACTCTTCATTTTGGCTCAGGTCATATCTCATAGTTCGTGACATGGAGTCTCGCATTGGGCTCTGCCTGACAGTTTGGAGCCTGCTTGGGATTCTCTCTCTCCCTCTCTCTCTCTGCCCCTCCCCAGAGCTTACACATGTGATCTCTTTCTCTCTCTCAAAATAAACCGTTTTAAAAAATCACAATATTGCAACTATCCATGCATATATTTATCTGTAATTGGCCTGAGTTCACGAAGATATTGGGGTAATTAACAAAAACTTACATAGTAAAATAGAATTAAATAAAAATAAAATCCTAGGGAAAAATCTAGGTAGGCTATAATGCTAAGATAAAGATAAAATTCAGAGGTAGGCTGGATGGCTCAATTGGTTGAGTGTCCAACTTTGGCTCAGGTCATTATCTCATGGTTTGTGGGTTCGAGCCCCACATCGGGCTCTCTGTCATCAGCACAGAGCCTGCTTCAGATCTCTGTCCCCTTCTCTCTCTTTCTGCACCTCCCACCTTGAGTGCTCTCTCTCTCAAAAGTAAATAAACATTTAAAAAAAGATAAAATTCAGGATCCTCAGGTACACATTACTACATTCTACTAAAATTAAACCACTCGCTTGCCTCTCAGCTTTGTGGTAGTCTAAGCAAAAAGGAGGTCATGCTTCTTTATGTGATATTAATTGCCCATAATAGAAATGCAAACTAATTTCTAAGAAAACACAATAAGGACATGACGTTTAGAATTATGTCAGTGCCGTCACTTTTATAGGGAAAGTAGGTTGATCTATGGGGACCATGGCTGCAAAAGTAGGATTATTTTTTAAAAGAAGACCCCATGTTTATTGCATGCAGGACATCAGGAAAGCAGAGCTCCCAGACTTGAGGCATATAGGGAGAAGGGGGAGATTCCATGGAAAAATTCTTTACATCCTCTCTTCCTTCACTTCCCTAATTGATGGCTTTCCATCACCACACAGAGCTCTAAGGAACCATACAGAGAAGGAAGCTCAAAGGGATGAAATTAAGACACCTTGCTGGAGAATGCTTGAATGATTTATGTGTTTATTACAAAATTCTGTATTTTTGATGCAAACACATTCTCAGATAATTTATTCATTCTCACAAAATGCCATAGAAAAAACATATCGGGTGGTTCAGCAATGACAGAATTTTATAGTGATATTTTTCATCAAGTTGAGCAGGTATAGATTTATGTTAATGTACACTTCATGTCATTTTTCTTGCAATCCCATTCTGACATTATCTGGAAACTGTCAGATTTCAAGACCTTATCTTCCCTGAAGCTTGGAATTTTTTTTTTTTTTTTGCATTCCTAAAAATGGGTAAAAGTTTATTTGGGGGCAAAGTCTTTTATAGTATATAGTAGGATAGCTTGTTTCTGATGAACCATTACTACTCACCACAAATCCAGAAGAAACCATCTTCTTTTCTGAGTAGGAGAGCTGTAATGTTCAAATATAGTGTGGTTTAGCTTCTTAATGCCGAGAATAAAGGACATTAAAGTGAATTTCTCTTGCTCAGATGTGAACCAAGCACAGACTGTAAACCAATTTTCTTTGAGGTGACAAGCATACCATATGCCAGAATGAATTTATAACAAAATACAATAAAATATCCAAGAAAAGAAAGAGAATTATTCACAGGTGACTGCACTTGTACATCCGTAAACATGAGCTTGGTTGAAAAGAAGCAAAATAGAATTCCACATAATGCCATCGAAAGACCTTTCTTCTCATTTGCTTTTATTTTTTTTTATTTTTAATGTTTATTTTTATTTTTGAGGGAGAGAGATACAGAGTGAGAGCAGGGAAGGGTCAGAGAGAGAGGGAGACACAGAAGCTGAAGCAGGCTTCAGGCTCTGTGGTGACGCCTGACACAGGGCGAGAACTCACAAACTGCAAGATCATGACCTGAGCTGAAGTCAGACCCTCAGCTGACTGAGCCACACAGGTGCCCATCTTCTCGTTTGCTTTTAAAGGAATTTGGATGCCAATGAAATTAGAGTCAGAGATGAGTTTACAGTTAATCTAGTTCAACTCCCTCATTTGTTTTTTATTTTTATTTTTAAAAGAAAATTTTAAAAAAACTTTTTTTAAGAGAGACAGAGTGTGAATGAGGGAGGGGCAAAGAAAGAGGGAGACACAGAATCTGAAGCAGGCTCCAGGCTCTAAGCTGTCAGCACAGAGCCCGACATGGGGCTCAAACTCACAGGCCACGAGATCATGACCTGAGCCGAAGTCAGACACTTAACTGACTGAGCCACCCAGGCGCTCCTCAGCTCCCTAATTTTATTTTTTTTCAAATCCATTATTCATTTTTAATTAATCACTTTGTAA